ACCTAGTGATTCTGTGATTCTGTGATTTTTGCCAAGGATTAAATAGTAAGTATTTTAATGGAGACTTCAATGTCCTTCTTCCTCTTTGCATGTATGTTGCAGGCAATGATGTCTCGTATCTCCTTCCCTTCTGTTCTCTGACTATGCTTCTGCCTAAAGCAGAACAGCAGAGGTGTTAGTATTATTTTCTGTATCCAGTATTAATATTTTCTCTTTCCACAGAATTGACCAAAAAATGTCTGGAGGCCAGAGCGGGTATGAACTGTGTGAGGCCAAAGCCATACTCAGTGAACTGAAGTCCATCAGAAAGGCGATAAGTTCAGGAGAGAGAGAAAAACAAAATTTAATGAAGGTATTTTGAATGGTTGACGTAAGTTTTGTGTGGATTTGTGTTAACTTGAGTAACTTTCCTGATTATAAATGCTTTGCATTTTATACTCTTTAAGGGATTCTCAAAACTTTGAGCCAAACTAGTATTAAAATCAATTTTCAGATGCAGAAACTGAAACTTGTGACTTTCCTAACTCATAAAATTGCTATATGTCAGTCAGAATATAGACTTCTGAACTTGTATGTATGGTACAGTGCAGATGTTACCTCTAAACAACAATTTCAAATATTAAGTGGACAAAATTGAGATATGTGTTTTTGAGATTCATGGCCATTGTCTAACTCAGTGAAAGTTTTCCAAATCTAAATTGCCCTATTTCCTTTTCTGAAAGCAGATTTTTTTTAATCAGCCAAGTATTTAATTGATTGACAAGTTAAAAAAAAAAAAAAACAGACAAAACCACATGAGTAGTTTGAGTAGTTTTTATATGCGTCACAGGTATTGATCACCCTTAGTGTTACCTACCAACTGCTTGGTTAAAAGGATAGTTTGCTTCATATGACGTAAACCTAGAATTTTTATATTGAAGTCTTTTTTGTAAATATCTTTTGGAGATAAACTGGTATAAACACAGTAAAGTACAAAGGATCTTTAACAGCCTCCTTCTCTGTTTCCTGGACAGAGTCTTGCAAAGCTGAGAGAGAAATTCAGTCTTGACCAGACCATTGGGATATCTGAACCAGACTTGAGTTCCAGCTCTGTAAAATCCCAGCTATGTTTTTCCAGACAAACTCTGGATACAGGGTCTCAGACTGACATTTCTGGTGAGGTGAGCTTTTTTCCATTTTGTCGAATGTAAAGAGAACTTGAATCAGAATGCTGTGGTTAATGGAATTGGACTCAAATGGTTGTTCACTGTTACTGATAAGTGTATATATACACGTTTAAGAGGGAGTTCCTAAGAATCAGTTATCTGATTCCCCACCCCCCTTATATTTTGTATCAAGATTCAGATGAACTTTATACGTTTGGCATGAAGCGTTTATGACAACTCAGCTTAATCAAATAGTTCCCAGTACAATGAAGATCAGCATAAGTAGGTAGTATTTTTTTGATCAGTCTGTAGGATATTTCCACCTTACAGACTTAATTCAATGTGAAGATGTTTTTAATTTTCAGATTAAAAATTCAGAGATTCAGATCTCAGAATTTAAATGTGCAATTTCATGTCACGCAGCTGAAAAACTGTTAGTGGAACTACTTGTTCAGTGATTCATTAAAACCTTTTGCGTTTCACTGACAGTATATTTACATACGCAGAAAGCTGTGTGTAATTTTGGTACCTTCTTTGAAGTTCTGGGAGCTAAGTTTATAAGGAAGAGACTGTACAAGGTTTTCCAAACAAAGAGCTAAGCTTGTCTATGTTTTGTAGCAAATTTATTGAAGTCTTACTTTGAAATGCACTGACTTTGTTCTAAATTCTGAGTTCAGCAGAGTTCAAAGTAGGAGGTCAAAATTTTGGGTGCAGTGACTGCAAGACTTATTTGAAAATGCTCTTGCTCTACTCTGATGGAATATGAAAAATTCGTAGTACGGTAGTTAAGAATAGATGAACTGGATCAGGAGAAAACTGTTTGTACATCTGAGTAGATTCCTAACTAGGCATTTAACAGCAAGTGTGTGGCTGCAGGTGGGTGTGGTTTATTTTCTTTAAATCGTGATTTTCTAGCCTGTGTAAAGGTTTTGTTGATTCATTTAACAGATTTACAAAGTAATAAGGCTATTTTTTTTTTCCCTCTGAACAGGTTGGAGCAAGAAATAGATCAAATTTAGCAGAGAAGGTCAGACTAAGTCTTCAATATGAAGAAGCAAAAAGAAGGTAACAGGGCTAGCTGCTTGGTTCGTCCCTGCAGCACGAACGCTGTGCTCGCAGTGACATCTGGTGGGCGGCTCTCGGGAGGCACTGTGGGCATTGCTGCCAAGTGCTGCTTTTCCTTCAGAGTGCGAGCAGGCAGTGCTGCTGAGCAGTAGGTTTACATTTAATGCTAAGTTGAATGTGTTAAGAAAATGCAGACAGTGACAGATTAATGGCAATTCCAGGATTAAGGGAAGAGAGTGAGATGGCTTTCCACTGAAAGGAGTCGCCAGGTGATTTAAATCCATTATGTTCTCCTTTGGGATCATCATTTCAGTTTACGATGCCAGGGAAGGCTCTTCAGTTTTAGAGTTGCTTCAGACTTCCCAGCGCAGATGTAGTAGGCTTAATCATTTCTTTTTTTCCTTGGGCCTCTGGATAATTTAAATACTTGTTATCACTATGGGGTTGGTTTTTTTTAATGAATTTAACCTGAGGAGAAATCAGAAACTGCTCCACTGATGAATGTGGAGGGCCTTTCTAATAAAGTTCTGCAGCAGTTGCTCATAAAAGCAGTGCCATTTTGATGAATTGCCACAGCACTGGGGAATGGGCATCAGAAAGCAGAACATTCAGGGTTAGAATGACATGTCGTCTGGTACACCAGAAGTGCTGCATAACACTGGGGGACGATCTACTATGAAAGAAAAAAAGGTGTGTGTAGGATGTATCTCCTAATATAATGTATTAATTGTGTTGTCTTATTTTCTAATACTTTTCCCAAAGTTATATGTTAGCTATTCAGCAACCTTACAGTTTTTGTTATGGGGGTACTTTGTAATTTAAGGGAAATAGAAATGTTAAAAAGTTATCACACACCAAAAGTTCTTTTTTTACTATAAAGAACTAAACAAGGCAATAAAACAAAAACCAGCGCTTTTTCCCAGATGAAAATCATGCCTAAAATGCCGTTTAATCTTAGATTTAAGTATTATTTCAGTTGAATACTGTGGCATGGTCAATTAGAAAACTAGGAAAAGAAATTTGCAGCTTGTAAGTACAAAGTAAAGGCATACTTAGTTTTTATGTTTTAAAGGCAGGAGGCTGCACAGCCAACATTTTTTTGCCTAATTTAAAATATATACTCTCCTCAAATGGAGTAGTAACTACCATCCTTGCCGGTAACAACAGTGATCCTTTATATCCTCATTACGGATCATAAAACTTTATTATATAATCAATGGATTCAACAAAGAGTGCTAAGGCTATTGTATTTGTTCAATGCTGAACTTGTATGGTTTTGGCTCAGAATCATTATGTACATAATATTAATTGTCAGATGGTGTTTTGGATGCAGATAGATGGCATTTTTTCCTAGGCATAATTGATCAAAACCAGATCACTCTCTGTTTTGACTATGTCTTGATACAAAAAAATCCCAGCATTGTGTTTTATCGCTCCTTTGTAGGAACAAAAAAAATTCCTGGCACTAAACCAGTTTACCACTTCTACCTTAAATAAAAAAAAAAAAAGTGCGGTGTTCAGAGCATGGAGTACTTTCTCACAAATTAGTCAGCCAAGAATGTGGGTCAAAATTTCGGTAGCTCATGTACTTACCTTTGCACAACTAAGTATTTGTTCTATATAACATTAGTGTGTCTCAAGGTCAAATTATCTCCTTTTAAATGGTATCTTTATTCAATTTTGTCTGAAACTGCTCAGTAATGGATATTCTTCTCAGCTTTAAATCAGACAATTGTATGCCTTGAAGACACCATTAAAGGCTTTAAAGTGTTTGCACATACTGGTTTTATCAGTGACTACAGGGTGAACTTAATAAGTGTACATATCTTCGAATAATGAAGATACATACCAGTTTGCACATAAAGTGCAGCAGCTAATTACATTCTCTATAATTATTATGGTCATTGTAATCGACATTATAATTGGATAAGTATTGACCATCTTTTCTGATATATTAATTGTGCAAATTCTTAGTTGTTTTCTGTAAAATAACTAAGAGGAGGTTAGGATCTTGTGAGAGAACGTCTCTATTTGAAAATTATCAGTGTCTTCTGTATGTTGCATGTTTTATGTTGTTTAGCCAGCCGAATGTCTTGAAGAGGTAGATTGTTGATGTTAACTATGCTAAATTCAGTTGCACTTGTTATTCAAAAGGATCTGATATAGCGTGTTGACAATCCTATCCTGATGTGCTAAAGATCTAGCTAATATTCCTTGTTGACCTGTCAAGCAAGGACATCCTCAAAAGAGTGAGACCAGTTCAGTATCCATCTAGTCCTTTGCCTGTTTGCTGATGCAGGTGAAAAGAGTGTCAGTTATGGTAGAAGAGAGTTGTCTATAGCAGAGGGAGCAAAAGAATTGTTTGGAGGCCACCATCCCATCCCATAAGCCATCAAACAGCTGCCAGTAGCAGCTACTTTCAGAACAAGGTTAGCTAGAACCAGTGACCTGGAGATGAAAGTCTTAACATTTCATTATACATCTGAAATTATTTGGTTGTTTTCCCTCTGAGTACTGCTCCTCTGAAGGACTGTTGAATATAAATGATATCTGTAACACTGCAAAATATGTTGAAATGCTTCATTTCATTTAATTTCATTTCATCCTACCCTTTGCTTATGGTAGCACTGCTGATAGTATTTCTGTTTGTTCTGCATTGTTTCTCTGTGAAAATACCCCGAGTCAAACTTGTTCTTCCAGGGATTGGGTGGGAGTATGGCTTGTTGTAATTTTTTTAAGCTGCTGTTTTTTTCATTGCAGTGTGCCCATGAGAAGAAAATGTTACCTATAGAAAAAGAAAGGGTGGGGAGATGTCCCCTTAAGCTTCTAGTATAAGCAGTGGGATAGTTAGATTCAACGTTAACTATTCTTAGCTTTGACCGTAAATAAATGCCTTAATGTACTGTAAAATTAATACCACAGATGCAAAATAAGCATGATGATGTTAGTTTTCTTAATCACAAAAAACAAACTGGCAAGAAGAAAAACGTTTTCCCAGAAGTCTGTCAGAACTACAGAAAGATTATATGTACCAAATTATCTGTGTGTATTTATGAAGTATGGCATGGGTCATTACCTTAGGTAGTGCCTGGTAACATTGAAATTGCACAGACTTGTATCACTTGTTGAGCTGACTTAGCTGTATTTAACTATGGCAATTACAAATAAATAAAAGTAACAGATCAGTTCCTCTTGCCCTAGATTGCATGGGAACATCTTTCTATTTTGACTTCTCCTTTCTCTGCCTTTTTCCCAGCCTACAAGAAGGAGGTGCAGAAGGCTGGGAGCTGTTATATAGTTCAAAGCTTCCCTATCTTAGCTATGCAGCTGGTTCAGGTGTGGCTAAGGCTGAAGGTGACTGAAAGTTGTCATCTTCTTAGATATGTGGCACCTTGTTGTGGTTTAACCGCCAGCTGGCAACTAAGCCCCACACAGCTGCTCGCTCACTGCCGCCCCATGGGATGGGAAAGGGCAAAAGTGATAAAACTTGTGGGTTGAGATAAAAACAGTTTAATAATTAAAATAAGATAAACAATAGTAATAATTTTAAAAATTGTAATGAAAAGGAAAATAACAGAGAGAGAAAAAAACAAACAAGAAAAAACAAATTATGCAATGAAAACAATTGCTCATCACCGACCAACCGATGCCCAGCCAGTCCCCAAGCTGCAGCACCCCTGCCAACCTCCTGCCAAGTTTTATTGCAAAACATGCTGTCGTATGGTATGGAGTATCCCTTTGGTCCGGTGGGGTCAGCTGTCCCAGCTGCGTCCCCTCCCAGCTTCTTGTGCACCCCCAGCCTGCTCGCTGGTGGGGTGGGGTGAGAAGCAGAAAAGGCCCTGACTCTGTGTAAGCACTGCTCAGCAATAACTAAAACATCCCTGTGTTATCAACACTGTTTCCAGCACAAATCCAGAACACAGCCCCATACCAGCTACTATGAAGAAAATTCACTATATCCCTGCCAGAATCAACACACACCTGTAATGGGAATTTTTAGGCTTTCCCAGTGAAAGCACCTCTAACGGGAATTTTTAGGCTTTTCTTTTTTATTGCAAAACCTGCACCTTTTAAGCTATGCTACTGAGCCCATAGGCAAAATGATTATGGAGACTGAACAGTGGCAGTAACCGGTCTTGATCAGGACTGGGGTATAATACAATAACAATGTAGGGAAGTTTCCACTTCCATTATATGCGTGTATCTGCGCAATATGTATGGATAACGAAGTCTTAGGTGTCTTAACTCTGTGATTTGACATTTGCATTGGGAACAACAGTTGCACAAACTCAAGCTTTCGAGTTAATAATCTCCTTTCTCTTTAGGTGTATGCTGTCCTGTTGCCTTTTCTCTTAATTCCACAGAAGAACAATGCTTTTGCCTTTTAAGATTTGCATACATGCACGCTGCTGACGTGAGCACCTTGCTATGGTGTGTGTTCTTTCATGATGGTTGTTGCTGTTTCTGAGGAGCAGTCAGCCTCCAACAGCTTAGGATAAATCCATCATTTACTCATGCTAGATGAGTAAAGCATAGTGCCACTATGTTACCAGATGGATCACTTTCAATAAAGCTTTTATTAACGTTGTGACTTTTACTTCAACTCTGCATTTGAACAGGAGGACTGGATACCTGGCTTGCTTTTCTGGTGTAGTCTGCATTCTTGTGAAGCAAAACTGATTCAAAGTATGGCTTTGAGTAGAAAATGTTGTTATATCCTGATGCCTTTCAAAATATTGCATCACTTCTCTCTTTCCTGGGATTTGTGTGCTCTGCTGGACTCAGAAGAATCTGCTGTGTTTTATTTTAGCATGGCTAACTTGAAGATTGAACTCTCTAAGCTAGATAGTGAAGCCTGGCCTGGGGCACTGGATGTGGAAAAGGAAAAACTGATGTTAATAAATGAGAAAGAAGAGCTTTTGAAGGAACTCCAGTTTATTACGCCACGCAAACGTACTCAAGATGAGCTAGAGCAGCTGGAAGCAGAGAGGAAAAGGCTTGAAGAAGAGCTGCTGTCTGTAAAAAGCACACCTAGTCAAGCACTTGCTGAAAGGTAAGGGGTTGTCTTTTGCTAATATTAAATGCTGCTCTCTGCAATCTAACCTTTGTAGTCATTACAGACCCTGAACTATGCCTTGATGGGCTGTTTTCCTTCAGTAACTGTTCTGTGTAGATCTTAATTAAATTTGTTATTAGCCCACTGGGCAGAAACACAAAGAAGTCTTCTGTACTGTGAGGGAATGCGAACACCCTGTATGTGCTCTGCAGTATCAGTTGCTCTGCATTGTTGCCAGCATGAAAATGGCTGTGACAGATGTTAAATAACTGAGGAATGTCAACATACTAGCAGGAGGGCAATACATCATTCACTCATTTCTGGTAATAGCTGTAAACTATTTGAACTCAGGTTACAAAGATTATCTTGATTGTTGCAACATCTGAAGCCTTTCATTGTGAGTTTTATTACATACAAAAATGCAGTCAAAAGGGAAAAAAACTTCAGAGGAGAAGTATAATTGTTGTAAAAATTTCCTAACTTGCTGCTACCAAACTGGTAACCGAAGTGACTCCCACAATAAATTGTTTTAGCCAGATTCAGAGTTCAAGAAAATCTAAGGTGACTGTCACAAATGGACTTTTCATCAACCGTAAGTGAAAATAAATTTATGGGCACCTCTAGCACACATAAAATGCAATAAAGACAAAATGTCATTGCGTGTATCAGTGTAGTGTGCCTTACTGAAGTAATACAATCAGCACTGTAAGCCTTTCCTACTTCCCTCTGCTAGGAAACACCTGCTGTTGTTCCCGTTCCACTGAATGGCAAAATTTCTCTTAGTGGCTTCAGGACCCCTCCTGAAGCTGGGTCCTAAATAGTAGCCGAGTAGTGACGAAATTGTTTTGTTTACAAAGTACGTATATGTGTATTAGGCACGATTTCTAAACATATTTGTACACTTTATAATAGTTTAAACTGCATTATATTGGTAATACAAGCATGTTTTAGAAGAAGGGTTATGTTGTACTGGAGCTATGTTTTTACAGAAGAAAGTACCTGCCTCTGTTAGTATCTATATTACCATGGATCTATTGCTTTCTGACTTCCATTAATAAGTGGAGAATAAGGGGTCAGTAATAAAATCACATTGACAAATAAATAATTTGAATCTGAGGTTTTGGTAATATGCTGTTGTAAGTAACTGCTAAATCTTGTCTCATCCTGTAAATTGGTAGCTGGTTTCTTAGTCTTGTGTTACGGATTTGCTTGTTTAGTGCCAAACAAAATTCTCCACCTGACCATTTTCCCATACATGCCAGATGCCAAACTTGGAGTACCAAGGGCAAGGCAAATTGTCTCCCATTGTCAAGAAGAAATGAAACAAATTTTTTTCCATGTATAGTGACACAACTAGTTGTTACAGCTTAATTTTTTCCCCCCTCTATTTTCTTCAAGTTTGTTTCCTTTTGATTTTCATTCCTGAAAATGTAGAATTTTTCCGGAGGTTACTGTAAGATTTCATGTCATACACTGCTCGTTGAGGTAGTGTTTGTGGTAGCTTCTGGTTTGCTTTTTTGCCATTCCAGCGAATCTCCAATGAATTTCTACCTGCAGCACTTCATGATACTAAAACTGTCTCCCTTGATGACTTCAGAGCACATAAATTCTTTCACATTAAGCTATTTTGAGGAGTATTTCTGGTGTGTCTGCTATAAACATAAGGAAAATCTTAATTTTGTAGAAGGATTCAGATGGTGAAACTTATCCTGAAATGTTAATTTGAGAAAAGAATACAGTTAATTGTATCTCATCAACCATCAGCATTTTAGTTTTTGGAGATGAGGAAGATTCTCCTCTCCATTGTCAGTGGAGGAGCCACACCATCTTCAAAACACTGCACTGTTGTTGCATTAATATTTTCTTTCATGAAGTTTCATGAATGCCTTAGGTTTACAGTGTTTTCACAGGTACTGATAATGAAGCAACGGTGTAAGAAGCTATGGATTGTGTCAGAGCTTGATGTGAGGAGGGCTTTTTGGTTTGGTTTGGAGTTGGTTGGTTTTTTATTTTTTTCTAAAGGGGGAAAAAGACTTGCTCTGACTCAAAACAAAAACATTATATCATAGCTTTGGGTTATTTTGGAGTAGGATGCTGAAATTGCCACTAGTAGATGTACTCAGAGTCAATTTACAGAAGAGGGGTATAAATCATAACGTATCAGCTTCAAAAAAGCAGGGCATACTCTGACTGTTTTAAGAAGCCTTCCAGCAACCATATAGAAATATCTGGATTGTGGAACTGGTGAGAACTGTTTGTTACTTTCTTGCCTCTGCATTCATGTCAGGGAGATTCCATTACTACTTTAGTCTTTGGCAAAAATCTAAGTAATCACCAGCATTTAAACAGATGCATGATTTAACTACTTGATTGTGCTGTTGCCTGCAAAACTGGCCCCTGCTCCTGTGCCTGTCACAAACAAACATGTCTACTATGTAAGTTTGCATTGAAAGGTGAGGTATGTGCACTTTGACTTTTTAATGTTTTTGTGGTTTTTTTTTTTAAGATTCTATGCCACTCTCAACAATGTTACAATTTAAGATCAAAAGCAGAGAAAGATGTCTGACTAACACTCAAGTCATTCCTGCAATGAGCAACAGGTTAATTTAGATAGGAGGGGTGCAACAGGAGAGATTGAGAAGCCCATGTCAGAACAAATAAGACAGTGGTTGTTTAGGTGTTTACATAGTCTTTTGGATATTACAATTCTTGCTTATGCTAAAAAAAAGGAAGGTTCATTGTTTGAAAGTTTTGGGGGTTGCTTTTTTTTGTTTGTTTCTTTTAATTTGGTCTGATGTAGAATGAAGAAAATTTCCTTGAATCTCAATTTGTTGTGAGATAGTAAAATTTTTTCCTGCATGTCTTGGAACTTCCAGGAGTGATTTCGTCATCTAGCTTGTGTTTGTGACTTCTGACTAACATCTTCCTGAAATTTACCTACAGGTAGAAATGCCACTTTAATTATTAGTAGATCAAATTACATCTCAGAAATAATGTTTTTTCAGGAGCTAAATTATATGGGATAAATTACATTTTATCAACTTCCTTAAGATAATAAAGGAAAATAAACTTTTGCTTGTGCTTTAGAGAAAAAAAAACACAGGCAAACCTTTTTAATTTAATGGTACAAATTCAGTGGGACAACTATAGGTGTCTGTTTTGAGGACTCCAGTCCGAGAATTTCCTAAGCTTTTAATTTTTCTTGCCTTTTGCCATTAGTAGTTGAACATATACAGCAATTTTTGTGCCTCTTCCTTGAAGGTAAAATGATAGTTCACTGTTGAAAATGAGTTAGTGAAGGGCACTCTTGCTTGGGAAAAGCAGGATAGCTTAGACTTCAAAAGAAGGCAGAAGGCATTGGTAAATAGTAAAATGGTAGGAAA